TTGGGGGGGGAGAGGGAGAGAGAGAGAGAGAGAGAGAGAAGAGTAAAACAACAAATAAGACTGCTATAACAACAGATTTGTATACGCTTTTCCTGTTGGTTTGTTGAGGTTCGCTGTGCTCTTCCGAGTCAACAACACGCCAGCTGCGTGAGCTTGGGAAACGTCCGTAGGCTGGTGCTGCTCCCTGCTTATATAGTCATCTTGCATCACTCCTTCATGACACTCCTGTGCTCAGACTGTGCTCTCATGAACCCACTCCAAAGGGATAACCTAAAAAAGAATAGATGTGTGTGTGTCTCGTGTGTGTTCGTCCCATTTTTTCTGGCGTCGAACTATACTGTAAACACTTTTCGGTGTGTATCTACCATCAGCCGATACTGTATGATCCGACAGACTAGGCCGACCGAGGGCGAGGAGGATCATGCCATGTACCACGGGCAAAGCCGTCTCGATGACGTGTGTAGGCAGGCGTTCCGCGTCCGAAACCAATCAGCCCAACCAAAACACAAAAAAGCAACTTTACCGCGTTACTAGCCTGGCACCAACCGCAGGTGACTTAAGATATCACACCCCCTAAACCAATTTTTCGAAACATCATTACTACAACACCAGGAAGAAGAGTGGTGCCGAAAATTGCGGCGTCGGAATCCCCTCGTCGAGAGCTTTCCGAAAACATATCCTTTGGTTTTTGCCCTTCCTATCCGTCGTGGAGTAAAAAAGTCGAGCCGAATAATTCGGTCCGCGGTGTGTGATATATTGTATTGTGTCACCTACGGTAATCGATGGCCCCGAGCAACTTTCACGGCCCACGTGAATTGTCGCAGGGAACAAATCGACAACACCCTCCAGAAAAACAAACAAACAAACAGCAGTATTGCCCCCCGCAACAACCAAAAACACATGAAAGTACGGCACATAGTCGTGAGTCTCTACGCTTCAAATCGAAGCACACAAAAGTCGAATCACTGCAATGTACACCAGTAGGTCTGTAGCGTAGAAGTATATAGTAAAAAGTCGTTCATTCATTCAAATTGACAGCAGCTGTCTAATTCTTTCGTTCGGTTAATGTTGAATTTATTCGTTCCATGTTTATAAATATTGCATGCTCGTGCCCGGAAATCACAATTATTGGTGTTGCGGTTTGTGTAGCCGGATTTTAACTGGCTCTGGTTTTCTGATACGATGGTCGGTGTTAGATGTAGGTTTGTATGCGCGTACGCACGTTCCCTTACCCGCCAATTGTGACAGTCCCGTCTGCTGCCGCACGCGCGGCGACCACATCAGTTCATTCCAATTCAACATCGTACGTTGAATTGTCGTGTAGGGGACAGGCGTGCAAAAAACAACGGCCTTGAACGCCATCAACATCAAAAACGCCTTGTGAATTTCTCACCTGTTCGCTTTCCTGACACTGCACTTGTTCACGACTAAAAAAACGCAGCAACAGCAGTGTCCACTGCCTCAACCTTGAATACCCAGCCGTGGACAAGCACGTCGAGAACACCGTAGTTGGCACCGCCTGGGAGTTCGTCGTCAAAGTCTGCGACAAGCCTTCGCTCGACCTCGTCTGCGCGAAGCGCCTGTGGACCGCGACTGCTGTGTGATGACACGAGACCCGCCTGGGTGGTCTCCGGTGCGATGTTGCGGCAGTTCGGTAGGAGTTGGGTGAAGCGCCGCAGAATATGGGCCGGGTTGCTCCCCCCGGCGATCAGCTGGTCCCCCCCGACACAGGAAGTTGTCCAGGAGGTGGGCGACC